CTCTCTATGCCCTCGTCTCGACATAGCTGCTGAAAGGTGTCTGAAGTGTACTCTCCGCCATTATCAGATCTCAATATCTTGATCTTTCTCACTGTCTACAGTTCCAATCTTCTCTTTCACTCCACAAATATCTCTAGGACTTCACTCTTCTTCGCTATGGTGTACACCCAACAACGTCTAGAATAGTTATCTATAAATGTAACGAACCAATGTTGACCATCAAGTGATGTCGTCTTGGTGGGACCCCAAACATCCATATGCACATAGTCCAAGATGTCTCTCGTCCTATGAACTGTTGTCCCGATCTTCACCTTAGTTTTTTGGCTAAGAACACAGTGCTCACAAAATTCAATCTTCCTACTCTTGGCTCCCTTCAATAGCCCCTGCTTGCACAGCGCCTGTAGTAACTTTTCACCTGTGCGCCCCAATCTGTAGTGCCAAAGTCTGCACATGTCCGCCTCTAAAACTCCTGAAGCTACTTGATAAATCTCGGTGCTTCCCTTCAGATAATATAGATTCCTACAGCGAACTCCCTTCATCACTACCAAAGATTCCTTAGTAACTTTTGCTACAACGCTCTTAAAAGTCATATTGAATCTTTTTGCCTCTAAAGCTCCAATAAAAATAAGATTCTTCTTCAACTGAGGAATAAATATCACTTCATTCAACTCACGAACAACTCCGTCAAGCATCTGAATCCTGACAGTACCTATCCCACAAATACCACAGGACTGATCGTTTCTCATGACCACCACACCCCATCGAGCTTCTCGAAAGATGCAAACCAATTTCACCAGGGAGTCATATGATAAGTAGCACCAGAATCTAGCATCTAATCCGATGCATCAGCATGGTTAACCTCTGGAGTAATCAATAAAGAAAAGCATGAATCATCTGAATCGTTACCACTCTTAGCAACATTCACCTCACTGACCTTCGGACCCTTCTTCTTGCTGTTCTCCTTCTCTCTGAGCTTCAGTCAATCTCTTTCCAATATCCTTATTCTTTACAAAAAGCACACTGACTTTGCTAATTAGTAGTGGCTTCTTGACTTTGACATGCCTCTGTTGTCACCTCTCGGACAGAGACTCATTATCTCTTGTCGACAAGGCATCTCCTGCAGTGCTAGCTCTGGAAGATTCTTTATCCTTCCTCATCAAGTTAAAATTCATCAATGCATTAGTCACTTTACTATAGGTGATGGAAGATCTACCGTTCAATAAAGTGAACACGAATGTATCATACTCCTCATCGAGTAAGGAGCCTGATAAAATAATTGACTTGTACTCATCTGATATCTTCTCATCCACATTCTCCAAGTCCAACAATAATTTTGTGTAGTTGTTCACATGATCTGCAAGTGAGGTACCCCTGGACATCTGGAATCTGAATAATCTTGGAAGCAAGTGCAACCGATTCTCAACACTCTTCGTAAGATATTTGTTATTAAGAATCTCCCATATATTCATCGCAGATGTCACATCGATCACATCGTACTTCAACTCTTGTTCCAAACAAGATCTTATTACCCTACAAACGTTTCGATTCATCTTGTCCAATATCACCTCATCATACTTCGGTGGCCTCTCATGGACCATGATGGTCTCCTCTAAGTTCTAAGCATTCAAATCATCCTGCACATCATTCATCCACAACCCAAAGTTGATCTTACCGTCATACTTCACAACGCTGATCTTCATATTCTGAAGTGTAATTTGAACTGTATTTGATGTAGCATTGTTGCTTTCACCACTATCTCCTGCCATTGTTGCTTTTAATATTGACATCTAATTGGTTGACTCCAATTGCATCTTCATTGATTAATAATGTCTGTTTGTAGTTATTGCAAGGTATAGCAACAAGATTATTCAAGAAAAGTAGTAGTAGATATGTATGTGTATGGTTATACCAAAAATAATAATAATAATAATAATAAAGAAAAAACAGAAGAAGAAGACATGTATGTGTGTTTATTAAGAAGAAGCTAGTATGCACGACTAACCAGCCATTCAAAGAGCACGTTAAACATGGGCTAATTTTGTCACCATTAGAAAAAAAAAAATCTTTTGGGAGATCTCGGATATTCTTGGACATGTTTTAGGTTTTTAGTTACGAGGTAGTGCTGTAGTATCTTATTTTTTCCATATGCTCAAAAGTTTCATTTTCTTTTTGTAAGCTTTTAATGGCTATTACTGTCATCAATAAATAAAATTGACAGGCTCAACTGGGGACTTGCTAAATTTTGGCTAAAAAATACACATATAACAAATTAATAGAAAGAAGAAGAAGAAGAAGAAGAGTAGTAGTATCCTCTCATGTGCTATGTACTCAGGTTTCTAGCTTCCACAATCATCAACCTGCTAACCTCTTAATGTTGGCATTGTGCCATAACGTGTGCCACGTGATGCAAGATAATGACATGATTAGTGGTTTAATTTGCATTAGTAGTTTTAGGGGCAACCTCTATTCTTGATAAAATCGAACTAGCTCTCTATTTGTAAGCTTCTATATCCGTAAGGCCCATTCATGACCGGTGGGAGACTCTTTAGAGAACAAGTTGGATTTGTTAAGGTAAAGAATGCAAAAGTTTCGTAATATATGATGCATGAAAAAGGAAGTCATTTTATGCGTATATAGTGGTTGCATGGAGGCAATGTATGCTTACTCACTGGTCCTATTATAACTGGCAATATTCTAATTGAGAAAGGACGGTGATTAGATAGGATGACTGTGGATTTGGATACTCATCACTGGACTCACTGTCCATATATATATTATATATATTATTATTATATATATATATATATATAGTATATATATATATTATATATATATATATTATCATGTTCTCTATAATATGAATGTGGTCCACATTAAATGAGTGAATAAGGATTGTGTCACTTCACTATCAAGCACAAAATTTATGTTTAGTACCAAGCATACACATATTTCTTCTTCTATCTCTTCGTCTCTCAATAAATAAATAAATAAATATATTATATATATATATTATTATATAATTATTATATATATAATATATATATATATATATATATATGTGTGTGTGTGTGTGTGTTGTGTGTGTGTGTGTGTGTGTGTGTGTGTGTGTATCCTTGTCATAGAGGAGATTTCCTCATTGTCGGTATGTGACACAATCCCATCATCCTCATAAGTAAGACACAAATCTCACCAACTCACACTCTCTCTCCTACTTTACGAGGATGGTGGGAATTGTGCTACATAGGTGTCAAGGAGAAACATTCCCACCTATGAAAAATACTCATTAATCATGCATATATATATATATATATATATATATATATTATAATATTATATATATATATAATATATATATATAGAGAGAGAGATGAGAGAGAGAGGAAGAGATTAATCGGGTCTGTGCATAGGAGTGGGATTCTTCTGCCTATGACGCCTCTAAAATCACATTGATTTGAGCGACATTATGGATGATCGCTCACGTTGAACTTGATCAACATATTCTAAAAACCCAACACACCAAGTTTGGGGTGAATCCTGTCTCGTTTGACCCTTTCATCACTCGTATCAAATTTTAACGTTTTGAATGAATAGGAACTTTTTCACAATGGCTCGAATGGAGGGTCAAACGAGACGGTTCACCCCAACTTGGTTTGTTGGGTTTTAGGAATATGTAGATCAAGTTCAACGGAGCGGATCATCCACAATGTCGCTTCAATCATGTTGATTTTAGAAACGTCATTAGAAGGAAATCCCTCCTATGACAAGGATACACATTTAATATCTCTCTCTCTCTCTCTCTCTACTCTCTCTCTAATTAAATATATATATATATATATATATATATAGAGAGAGAGAGAGAGAGATATTAATGGGTATCCTTGTCATAGGAGGGGATTTCCTCCTTGACGCCTCTAAAATAACATGATTGAACGACATTATGTATGATCCGCTCCGTTAAACTTGTTCTACATATTCTAAAAACCCAACACATCAAGTTTGGGGTGAATCCGTCGTCGTTTGACCCTCCATTGAGCCATGTGAAAAGTTCTATTCATTCAAAACCGTTAAAATTGATACGAGTGGATGAATGGTCAAACGACGACGGGTTCACCCCAAACTTGGTGTGTTGGGGTTTTAGAATATGTAGATCAAGTTCACCGGAGCGGATCATCCATAATGTCGTTCAATCATGTGATTTTAGAGGCGTCATAGGAGGAAATCCCCTCCTATGACAAGGATACCCATTAATCTATATATATATATATATATATATAGAAAAGGAAAGAATGGACACCGTTATGTTTTAGTACAACCGCTAAGTATTAATAATTATGATTCATTTTATCAATCAGACTCGTGAATTGGACTCGCGCTCTTTTAATTTACACTGTAAATTGCAATTATTCATTAGATAATCAAATAATTATAATTAAATAATGATCCCTCCGTCACTTCCTCGGTAAAAACAAGGATCCGAAACCTATAACTATGGGGGTTGGACTGTAGGAGTCAATTAATGCGCGGCCAACTTTCAAAGATGATTTAATATTTTTAAGCTTAAGCGTGACCACAAGATATGCCAAATACGGTCCTTCGCAGAATTACATTAATTAATGTTGCACTGCATCATTTATCCACTTCCGGGCCAGTCCAAATCCAGCCTGCTAAGTGAAGGCAAACTGAGCCGGGCCTGCGGTGAGCAAATTGGATACAACCAATTTAAATCTAAATTTTGGATTTTCTAATTGAAATTTTCATTGTTGTACGTGATGTAGTTATACATGAACTACAGAAATTCAAGGACCAAATATCTAAGCAACTTATAAAAATTCAGAAACATTTACTTGGCATCATATGATATAAAATAAACTTGTGATCATTCAAAATGTTAATTTTCTAACTATGTGACCCAAAATAGATCCCCATCTGATGGTACTGAATTTTAACATCGAAACTCAAATTATAAATTTAGACTGATG